ACATGAGTCTTAGGGTCTATGCTGACACACAGGAGACTTGCCGGGGGTCAGGAACCCTGATGGACCCCAGGCCCTCCCAACGGACCAGTTATTTGCGCGTGTGCCATCATCCTCACTTAAAGAGGAGGATGATGGAGGACACTGAGGGTGAGGAGTGCCCGCTTCCCCAAAGCCACACCGCTCGTGCTTCACTGAGCCCAGTCTCCAGCCTGTTTCCAAATGAGCTCAAAGTCTGCACACGCTTCCAACCACCAGAGTTCCCACCTTTGCCCAGACTGCTTTCAAGGTGTAAAATGGATAATGATATACAAACAAAAATAAAGAGCGTCTGCTCTGATGCTCCCTCCCCGGTGCTGTCTGGAGCAGACCCCCTCCGACCCTCAGAACAGGGCAGTGTGCTTCTACTTGAAACAAGAGTGGGCAGGAGGGCACCAAGGCCAAATGAGCAGGTCAGGGCTGCAGGGGACTGAGGGACAGGACTGCAGGGGGCTGGGGGTGGGGCTTCCTGTTTAAGTCCTTAGTGGGTCATAGAGGGATCACTGTGGCCTGCCAGCCAGAGGTCCGGGCTCTGACGGTGGTACGTCTTTGTGCACCCTTATGCATGTGCCTTTACTTGCTAACCTTTAGCTTCCACAAGTGAAAAACAAGCAGCTGTGATGTTCTAGGAGAGTTGCGAACGTTGAGTGAAAGTCAATGGGAAAATCAAGCCTGACTGGCCGTGTGTATCAAAGTGAATGGGAGAGCTCTGAGGGGCTAGGGCCCCAGGCCAGTCTACAGGCTCCCTTCCTGGAGAGAAGACACAGTCACCTGGGGACTGCACCTAGGGCCTGGCATGACAGTCCCCTATCCCTGCTGAGGGATTCCCTGTGTGGGAACTGCCCGTCCGTCCCCCTCATCCTGAAGCCTGTCAAACCCCCAGCAGGCCCAGCGTGCAGGAGCTGGGCAGGCTGCAGATGAAATCACAGCTGGAAGGGGCTGGGCTGGGGCTGCCACTCCAGGGTGGGGCTCAGGGTCACAACCCTGGGAACCGGCAGCCAAAAAGGGAGGATGCCTTGTGCGAGGGAGCAGGGGGAAACACACACAGCGGCATAGAGAGGGAGGGACGGAGGCAAACTCCAGCTGAAGCCAGCCACGTTGCAGGCAGCTTGCGGACAGAGGCTCAGTTCTGCTTGGAGACCTTTCCTGGCATCTCCCCAGAGGCCCAGCGCAGGTGGTGCTCAGACATGGACTGGAGCAGGAGGCAGGGCCTGGGGCACCGAGGGGCCCAGAGCGCTGGGGGAGAGCGGACTAAGTCAGGTACTGTGAGAGGGGAAACTGAGGCACAAAAGAGAGTCAGCCAGAGGCCTGAAATGAGAAGGCCCTGATGTCAATGTCTTCTAGAACCTATTCCCATTTCCTGCTTCCTGTAGGGTGGAGCTGAGATTAAATGGCCATTGAGGGGGGCCTGTAGTACCAATGTGTGCTTTAGAGATCCAGAGGTCAATACAAGGCCTGGAGCCCACGGGAAGGATGTAGAGAGGAAGGCATAGGAATGGAGCAGTTAGGGCTGTGGCCTCCATGAGCACTGGGCACTCAGTGAGGGGACTTAGCCTTGAGGGACCAGAGATGGATAGAGAGGGCCATGATGGGTTCCTGGGATGATGGATTTGGGACCCATGTTAAGGAAGCTGGGCTGAGTCAGAGAGCAGATGTCTGGAAGACATGATCTAGACCTGGTCTAGAGTGTTTCGAGGAGTTCTGGCGATGCTGGGACTTTTCCAGTAATGTGTCCAGGAATGGGAAGCCCCAGGTGGAGCCACCAGGAGGAAACAAGAAGTGTTGGGGTACAGGGAGAAAGAAAGGGTGCCTGGCATCTGGATGCCCCCCCCCCCCCAACACACACACTGGGAAGTACTAGATGGGAAGGGCGGTTTTATCCCTCCACTATCCAAGGCTCTGCCAAAAGACCACAAGGAAAAGAATCAGGACGGGTCAGGGTGTATGTGTGGGGGGTGGGGTGGGGACAGCAGCAGGCACAAGGCTTCATCCTAGCAGGATGTGAGAACATCTGAGCAGACTCTGCTTGTGCCTAGAGGCAGTAGCTGGGGACGTGCAGATGACCAAAGGTGCTTCAGCAGCTAGGCAAAGCTTTGGAAGACCAATTGTCCCATTTCGACCCAGAGTTAGGTGAGAGAGAAGGGTTGGGGTAGGGTCCCCAGGGCTATGACATCTCCAGGTCTGGAAGGGCCCAGTGGCTCTGGGCCCTAGGGAGGTGTGTCTGGTCAGTACACTCATCTCATGCTTCTTTGTACGGCCTTATGTTTAGTAAGGAGACCCTGATCTCATTTTACCCTGTCTTCTCCCTCACTGTCCCTGAGACATCCAGTAATCTACCAGCAAGGACCCACACCAGGTGTTGGGACCCTGACTTAGACTGTAGAAACACTGTTGAGAGTCACCTTCATACTCTGAGGGCAAGCACCAAGGGATTTCCAAGGAGTGTCTGGTGGTGGTGGTGGTGGTGTGGGGGGAGCATCAGCCATTCCTCAGCACCCTAAGGAATCTGGGGTCCCATTTTGCCCAGCATCCCTGGATCGCTGCTTTAGGGGTCCCTTCAGAATAGAGAGGCTGAGGCACCTTCCTGAAGTGCCTCCCCAGATGGTCCCAACGAGACAAAATTTCATGTCTTCCCAGACCTCACAAGTACCAATCAGTAGAGGGGGCATGCTGATGGATGTAAGGGGATCAGAACCTTTGGCACACTAGCACCATACCCCCTGTAGTCTCTCTTTGCCTACTGGCAATGGGCAGGCTAGAGAAAGGCCACCCCTAAAGTAGCTTCCAGCGTCCACGTTCTGCTCTACTTTATGGCTGTCTAAAGTCCAAAAGGGCCACAGCCCCCCTTCCTGGAAACAGCTTCTCAGTGGAACCTCAGCCTGACTCCTCCAGCTGCCCCGCAAAGCCCCCCCCCTCCCAGGAGTCACAAAGGGAGCCTCCAGTCTGTCACCCCCCCCAAACCCAGATGAACCTGGGGCGTCTGAAGGGCACAAGGCTGGGGACCCCATCTGAGTCCCCCTGAGATCCCCTTCCCACCAGACCCATCAGCAAACGACGCCCAGAGCAAGCCACTCAGGAAAACCACAGGGCGTTTTTTTTTTGTTAAGACTTCATTTTAATTTTATCAATCAAATTCTTAGAAGAAGGAAAAAGTCTGCCCTACCCACCCTCCCCCCTCACTCGTTCCCCCTCCCCCCCTCACTCTCACTTTCTTCCATTCATAATTTCCTATGATGCACCTCAAACAACTTCCTGGACTGGGGATCCCGGCTAAATATAGCTGTTTCTCTGTCTTACAACACAGGCTCCAGTATATAAATCAGGCAAATTCCCCATTTGAGCATGAACTTCTGAAAACCGCCTGCATCTAAGGTCTCCTCCAAGGCCCTCTGGAGTCCAGCCCATAATGAAGGTCTTGGCCGCAGGTAAATCCACGCGCCGGGCGCCGATTGCGAGTCCCCGCTGCGGGCGCGCCGGCAGCCTGGGGCGCTGGGCGAGCACCCGCGGGACACCCGCCCGCCGCGCCACTCGGACACTTGGGGCGCCCGCGCAGTCCCGGGCCAGCCGGAGGCGCTGGGTGGCGGCCGGGAGCGAGCGCCGCACATGGCCCGGGCACCGCGCGCCCAGCCCGCCGGGGCCAGCAGGTTGGCGGCGAGGGACCCGGACGGCGCAGCCTTGCTCCGGCGCCTCCTCTCCTCGCCCCCCTGCTCTCCCGCGCTGCTCCTGCTTCTCCGCTGTCGCCCGGATTCACCCTCCCTCTTTCTTTTTCTTTCTTTCTTTCCGCTTTCTCTTTTCCAACTGCGTCCCGGGCTGCTCCCTGGGAGGGGCGCAGGCGGCTGAGCAGCTTGCAAACTCCGGCCAGGACCGGCGCAGGTGCCGCTTCCGTCTGCTAGTCCCTGGAAAGCTGTGATTGGCGCGAGGTGAGATGCGGGTATGGGTACCCTCGCAGCCATCCCGGGGCCTTAACACTGTCTGGGGATGCTGGGATCATTAGGGGACACCAGGGGAAGGAATCTAAGGTTCTATGGACTTTTCAGTCCCAACATGGAGAGTTCAGGTGGGAGGTCTCCAGCCTTCAAGAGTTGATTTCAGCCTCTATTACCTTCTGGTGTCTTCAGCCGGGTGTTGGAAAGGCCGGGCTGGGGTGAGGGGGCCGGGGTAGCTGAAAGTGAAGGAGGGGCAGGCGCCCCGGCGCGGGGGGAGGGGGGTGATCCTGGACAGGCCCGGACAGCTCCCCGCTCTCCTGACACCTTTCGCTTTCCTCTTGCGTGTCCGCCTGCGACCTTTTCCCTGGTCTCTTTCCTGGTTGCACCATTTCCTCTCCCTCCAAAGTGTGTGGAGTTGGGGGGCACGCGCGGGGGTGGGGGGGGTGGGGAGCTGTAGCAAGTTGGGGTGACAGAAGATTTGGATGGAGAGTGGTGACTCTGCAGAACACACAGGTGGAAGGTCCTCCATAGGGGACCCCGTTGAGGAAGGATAGAGATGGGATTAGAAGCAATTGGCCTAGGGAGCCAGAATCAAGCCGCGGGTTTGAGACACCGCAGCCCCCAGCCTCCACGGTCCGCACGGGGTCCAGTTTGGAGTTCTAGGCTGCAAAGGGCCAATGAACATCAAGTAAATTAAAAATCTGGCCCATCCTGGGAGGGGGAAGAGAGGCTTTATTTCTCTTCCCATCTGCTGGACGGGGAAACTGAGGCCAGGGAGCAGAGAAAGAGAGAAGTGCTTTAGAGAGAACTCGGGCAAGAGACCTGGAGTCAGGGAGCCCGGGAACTGCCGCAGAGCAGTGAAAGGATGGAGGGTGAGGGGAGGTGGGAGGGTGAGGGGAGGTGGGAGGGTGAGGGAAGGTGGGACGGGCTCCTCACCCGGGCTCCTCACCCAGCCCCCGGGCAACAAGCCGCGAGCCTCAAGCCAGTCTTCCGGCTTTTCCATTCACCCTTCTTGTCTCTTCCCAGGAGTTGTGCCCTTACTGCTGGTTCTGCACTGGAAACACGGGGCAGGGAGTCCCCTTCCCATCACCCCTGTGAACGCCACCTGTGCCACACGCCACCCGTGTCACGGCAACCTCATGAACCAGATCAAGAATCAACTGACACAGCTCAATGGCAGTGCCAACGCGCTCTTCATTTCCTACGTAAGTTCCCGGGTGGCGTGGGATCCCGAGGAAGGCGGGAAGCTGCCTGGGCTGCAGGGGAGCCCTGAGGAGCTGGAAGACACAGTGGGAAGGGGCTTGGCTCAAGCAAGCCCATACATCCATGGCTTCCTCCTCACATCCTAGCCTAGGCTAGAGGCTGGCAGTCACTCTTCCCAGTCGCCAGTGAGTGGAGAGCAGAGCTGGGATGAGAGGTGGGGACTTGTCACGCGGCTCAGGGTGGGCAAAGAAGAGGGATAAGGCAGTGAGTGGACAAGGGGGTGTCATTGAAAACATTGGGGTGCCCAGGAAGAGACTGGGGTGATTGAAAGTGCAAGTGTGTGTGGTGTTCTGGCTGAGGTGACGCCTGTGAAATGCCACATTTCCTCTCTATCCATTTATGTCACAGTGACCTTGATGAGTGAGTTCACTCCTCTGATCACTGCTGACTCATGATTCTAGTTGCCTACAGGGCAGTAAGTTGAGTCCCCACAGGTGGGGAAACTAAGGGGCAAAAGCTTGCCCCAAGGGGTGGTGGCAAGCTGGAACACTCACCCTGACTCCCATGTCCTCTCTCCTCTGTTCCTTTGTTCTTTAGTACACAGCTCAAGGGGAGCCGTTTCCCAACAACGTGGACAAGCTGTGTGGGCCCAACATGACAGATTTCCCGCCTTTCCACGCCAACGGGACAGAGAAGACCAAGTTGGTGGAGCTGTATCGGATGGTCGCGTACCTGAGTGCCTCCCTGGGTAACATCACCCGGGACCAGAAGATCCTGAACCCGGGTGCCCTGAGCCTCCACGGCAAGCTCAACACTACTGTCGACATCATGCGTGGGCTCCTCAGCAACGTCCTCTGTCGATTGTGCAACAAGTACCGCGTGGGCCACGTGGACGTGACCTACGGCCCTGACACCTCCAGCAAAGATGTCTTCCAAAAGAAAAAGTTGGGCTGCCAGCTCCTGGGGACATACAAGCAAGTCATTAATGTGGTGGCCCAGGCCTTCTAGACAGGGAGGTCTTGAGGATGCCATGGACTAAAGGATTTCAGGAGCAGGATCCAGATGCGGGGAGGGGGGAGGGGCTCAAAGTGTCCTGGGGTTCAGGGCATTGCTAAACGCAAAGGGGACTGCTGGCAGACCCCAGGGATTTCCAGCCACTCATGGAACTCTGGGCTGGGCCGTGATGGAGGCCAGCAAAGCTGAAACTTCCATAGGCAGGGCCTCCATATAGCCCAGCGCCAGCTAGAAACAGCAACAAGAGTGTTGGATTGACTAAGTGTGATTGGGTGACGAGGTTAAGTGGGTGAGACTTCTGTCTTACTAACTCCCTCAGCCTCTTGTCCACTAGGCGTGTGAACAAGATGCACACATTGTCTACAGCAGACAGCAAAGGTCTGGGGAGTCTCCTGCCCCCTGCAGAGTGACCACCATCTGGGCCTTTGCTGTCCCTTTGGGAGACTCTGGAAGGCTTGGTTGGCATGTGTGCAGGCCAGAGGGTCCAGAAGGACTCCTTATCTCTTTGAAACTTTGTGGGTGGAAGACAGAGAGGGTACCCTGTGACAGAATGTATCTTCTCTTGGGTTTGATCAGAGAATTCAGGCTTAGGGATTGTCATGCTAGCTGGAAGATTCTGGAAGGTCACTGGTGTGCAGGCTCTTAGGGAAGAAGCGAGGCCGTCTTCAGGTCTGGAAAGGAAGTCCCTGGAAGAGGATGAGCCCATCGAAGTCCAATGGGCTCATTCTTTTCTCTGTAGTCTCCCCCACAGCCTGGCATGGTTGGGGTCTCCTAGCTGGACCTAGAGGTAGGGTGTGCGCAGGTAGGAAGAAGCAGGTTGCAAAGGCAGGTGAGGTGTTCAGCAGGTCCCAGAGTCCTCCCAGGGGAGGATCTCTAACTCTAAGAGCCAGGGAGGGAGCAAGGCCGCCATGCTAGGGTAGCAGCGGACTCCAGGTTTCATCTGCTTTTATTGACCCTGGAGAACAGGTAATCCCAAACAGACAGACTGGTAGCTTAGAGTAGAAGGTCATGTCTGAGGCCCTGGAGGTCACACAAAGGTACTTGAGGGGACCAGAGGCTGTCTTGGGTCCCTAGAGCATGTAAAAGCAGAACTTGAGGTCAGGGTCTCAGGGAAGCTAGAGACCCCAGAGCGCTGCGTATGATCCAGTGCTGCTGTCTATTTATTACTATATCCTATTTATGTTAACTTATTGGTGCTTTAAATGGCAAAGTTAATTCCCTGAAACAGTATGAGGCCCCTTACGTGGGAGCCGGGGTCCAGCCTCACCTATTGGGGTTTGGTCTGGGAGCTGATGATATTACAGGTAGAGTAAGTCTCATGGGTGAAGCCTAGAGAAAGGTCAAGATCGGAGAGCTGACTAGCTCCCCGGCCTCACTCACACTGGGACTCACTTTGAGGGTGTCAGGGTCCCCCAGAAGGAGCTGGGCCAGTTTGTGGAGTGGCTGATTTTTCCCCCCTCTTTCTGGTCTCCAGGGGGGTGGAACAATTGGTTGTTGTTGTTGTTGTTTTGTCCCACGGTGCTCTCTGGCGCCCCCTGGATTCCGGCTATGTGTCACACCATTCATAATGAAGTGAATGGCTCTGGAACCTTGGGCAAAGCGGATTCTTCGTTCCTCAACGATCCGCTGAAGAGCACTGAGACGTCCTGACCGGGCACACCGCGTGCTTCCACCCCACCCAGCATGGAAGCTCCTCGGGTGGCCTGAACACCCACAGAATGCAGGAAGTTGGGGCAGTGCAGGCCCTGAACTGGGCCTGAACGGCTGCCCAGTGCTCCGGAGAAGGAGAGAGCAAAAAGCCTGAGACGCCTGGGACACAGACCAGGAAGCTGTGGTCCTTGCTTCATCGCTGCCTTCCCACTCCCGCCCATGTCTGGGCTTCCAGGCAGGGAATCCGATCTGATCTCTCCTTTGTGCTGGGGCCAGGCAAGCAGAGGAACGCCCTCGATCTGGGAGCAGGGTAGCGCGGAAGGCAGCCAAGCTCGGGCAGTGGCTGACTGCAGCACTAGCTGCCTCTCAGCCTCCGAGCAGGGCGGGTCCTTAGCAGTTGAGGCCTCAGGATTCTGCTTCATGCGTGTTTGCACCTTTTTCTGTCATTCTCCAAGCACTTTACCTGGACGGCAGGAGGCTAGCCCCTGAAGCTCTGGGTAGGACAAGGCCTGGAACCGTGCACGGGCGCAGCCAGGAGACTCACGGGTGGTGTATGTGGCAGCGACACTGTGGCCCCACTCTCCTGCTGCTGCATCAGGCCCAGCTCAGGACTTTGGAGAAGGCTGCCCTTCTCCAAACTGAGAGGCAACTTGTCTAAAAGCCAAGATGATTCCACAGCTGGGGCCTGCTGGGTCTTGCCATCACTTCACATTCTTATGGGCATGGATTCCCTGGGCTCAGCCCACCTGGCAGCTTTCAAGGTTCAGGGACCAATGGACTCTTCCTCTGTGTGCACAGCCCCCTGGCTCCACAACGCAGCCGCCATCTGCCTACATCTGACTCCAACAGTACAGAGCCGTTTTGCACAGCATCCCAGAATCATGGAGCCTTTGGGAAAACAAAACAAAAACAAAAAACAAAAAAACCTTTAGGGGCAGGTAGCTGTGCACCTTGATATCTTACACCTGCTAGCGTTGACTCCCATCTGGCATGATGGGTAATGTGCCTGGGCCGGAGAAGGGGGGTGGGGTGGGGCATTTTGCAGTTTATCAAGAGAGAAGCATCGGGTCCTTTATTTATTATTTAAAACTTCAACCCCGAAAGCACTGATAGTTCACTGGTCTCTCCTCTCTGTCCTTGCCTACTTCCGTGTCCTTGATCCTCACTCTAGCAATCCAGCTCTGCTTTGCTGGCTCTCTGGAGCAGACATGGCACGTGGGCCAGGACCCCAGAATCTTGCATGGGAGTGTCTTGAGAAGTGCAATGGTGTGGCTGTCTGCATTTGAATGATCCCCAGCCCAGCCCAGGCTCTCCTCTGCACTGCTGGTTCAGCCCATGGGGCCTCAGCTCCTTCCCCTTTCCTTTTCACTGGAAGGGACTTGGCCTTGGGTGACAAATTCCTCTTTGATGAATGTACCCTGTGGGAATGTTTCATACTGACAGATTATTTTTATTTATTCAATGTCATATTTAAAATATTTATTTTTTATACTGAAGGAGTACCTTTTTTTAAAAAAGAAAAAAATGAATTAATAAAGAACCCACTCTTGGCAAGCCTTCTGGAGTGTATTGATATGGGGGGGGCAGCTTGTGGGGACTTGGCTGGACAAAGGACAGAAGGGTTGGAAGATGAGGTCTCCTCCATTGGGCCAGCGTCAGCAGGGGTAGGGGGTGGGGTTTTACCCCAGGAATAACAAGGTGAGTGGTGTCTAGAATATGAGATGCCACCAAGAAAGGACAGATTACTTCCATGGGTGCTACTGTATCATTTCACTAGCCACAAAACACTCACAACAGCCCGGTTGGTCTGTTTCCATTCAGCTGAGGAGGAGACTGAAGCCCAGAGAGATGGAACTACGTGTGCAGAATAATTTGAAATGTGGAGGTCGACCCCTCCCAATGAGAGGTGCAGCTAGTCCCTAGACCAATGGGTGTGGGCCTGCTCAGCTCCCAGCCTCATGTTCTTCCCTTTGCATGGAGTTTCAGGGACTTGGAGATGCCGGCTGTCTGGAGCTTTATCACTAGGAAGGGTCCATAGTGACGTAATGGGTATGGGCTCAAAAGACCTACATGAAGGAGACAGGTCCTACCGAATCCATGAGACACTGGGCTCTAGCTGGGATAACCAGCCAGCCATGACAGCCTTTCTGTTAGACTTTTCGGGGTATAAATGGCTCCTCAGGAGCACTCTGTCACCCCATTCTCTTCCACTGAAAGATACCTCCACAGTGACCTTTCTCCTATTCCTTGGGGAACAGCGGAGGTTCAAACTGGGTAGCCACAGACAGATGTGTCTGGTGGGTCCCCTAAATATCTCTGGGGCTTTGGTCTGGAGTTTGAGTCTGGGCTTCCCTGGGAGATTGATTTTGGAGAGCAGGGCAGGGTTTCTGCATCTATGAATTGATGCACAGATGTGTACGTGGGCTGTGGCCTGGCAGCTCAGGCTGGACGAGGTAAGGGCTAACTCTTCTGGGAAGATGCCAGCGACAAAACTTCCTAGGAGTTGGGGTCAGGGGCAGGAGGTTATGGACTTCCAGAGCCGTCGGGGTCCCTCAGCCAGCGTCCTCTTTTCTCCTCGGTGCCAGGATAGGATCCACTGCCTCCCACCTCTCCAGAACTGCTTAGCATGCACTTCACTGGGGGCTGTTTAGAAACGTGGGATCTCATCATCTCCCTCCAGCAAGGACAGACTGCAGCATCAGAAACCAGCCAGATCCCCGGGCATCTGTGGGTGAGAGGGAGACTACCCTAACCCGCTCCTCCTGAGATCTCTATGCCAACTGGAGCACAGTTGCCCAGGCCTGGAAGTCAGCGGCAGGGAAGGCTTTGGCTCATCTCCTTGCGGGAAGCTGCAGTTAGCTGCCTGTCCACCTGCACGCAGCTGCACACTGCCCCACCCAAGCAGGCCCTTATCCTGAATCCTTATCTATGGTTCGGGTAAAGCAGGTTGAAGGTTTTTAAGAGCACAGGCAGGGGCTGCAGGGGTGTGACCTAAGGTGGCCTCTGGGGCTGGATTTCTCACCCAGGTTTTTGGTTCCTGGATTGAAATGACCACCTGCCTGCCCTCTGGGAGAGGGCTCTGGCTTGGCCTGATAGAACAATGGACTATTAATTGGCTATTGGGTCATTCTGGAGAGGACAGTGGCAACTGACTGTGGTAGGAGAAAGCGGCGTGACGGGTCTGCTGTGCTGGGAAAGGCTGGCTGGGGTCCTTGCCTCTCAGTGACCATCTATCTTTGTATCTGTGAACTTTCGAGAGCAATCAGCGATGAGATCTGTCCTCTACCTAATAGTGGTACCCGAAGGAGCGGAGGGACGGGGAGACAGAGATGTCATGTGCATCACATATCTCTCCAAGTCTAGCCTGTCCTGCCATGGATGACAG